GGCACACCTTGTGTCTTGGCCAAGTAGATATTCATCAGCTGACTGAGCAGGTTGCTAGGCAATTTCCTTTGCCCCCCAAGCAACGACCATCCAAATGGTATCCATGACAACGGCCAGCTGCTCCTCGGTCACCTGGTCCCTAGCTAGCCCTGCCATGTTCTGCCATGCCCAGGAGAATGTTGTAGATGTTGTCGTCACTCAGGCCAACGAGGGCGCTGTAGTGGTTGTCCCAGATATCAGAGAATCCGCTCGTCTTCCACGAGGGTGATGCTGGCTGAATAAAAATGGAGGAAAAAGAAAACATGAACAAAAAACTTAAAGAGAAGTTACAAGATTAAAATCTCAAATTCCCTCTAAAAACTTTGAAATGTACCCCGTCTACCATACATACAATGTAGTTCATCAATTTGTTGGTGAGTGCTTTGTAGCAACACCAGAAAGAAATCTTGCTCTCATTACGAGGAAAATCCTGGCAAAGCCCATACACAGACTCAACTATAGCATTGACAGAAACATAACACTAAACGACGTCATAATACAAGATATAGGGCCCCATTACACAATTGGTACTAAATTCTTTCACTTTACATTTTACTCCAAAACTCCATCTATTAATCTCATCAAACGAGGTGCAAAATCACATTGATCGCTGGTCCTACTTTCAGTCCACCTGTCACTTTGGCCCTGGGTGAAAAACTTCAGACTTGCTACATGTACTTGCTTCTGAAGAATTAAGACAAGAGCCATTTTCAAAATGATGACACTTATAAACCTGTAGTAACTTTAACCGTGTGACATGGGGTTGTGGATGATTGATTCAGAAACCAACTCACAAATTTCGCAAAACCATCTGGGCTTCAAAGTAAGCTCAATCAAAACCTTAAATAGCCAAAACACCCTAAAGTGTCACAGTGTGGTGTGACGAGACTCACCCAGAATGTGATCTCCATGTCCACCTCTCGGTAGTCCAGACCGGCTGTGGCATGGGGTCTGTCCTGGGTAGTGGGGGGTCACATTATCCTAGCTGCCAGGGCTCCCCTCTGCCAATGGTCCACACTCTGACCCGGCCTCCCCATGGGTGCCACCTGAAAAAAATTGGGGCAATTACATTTCAGGTTAATCATGTAAATAGAAATCAGCACTCCTTCCTATGACGAAAAGCGCTTAGGCTTAGACAATTTATTGGTACTCTTCAATGAACAATTTTTATGAATGATTAAAATCACATGTCCAACTTTAATCTGGTTTCCAGACTAAAAGATCTAGACTTCTTTGAGAGATCTTTAGGTCTGGTAGCTGCCACAGTCCAGTAAACAAACAGAGTTGAATCTTTCCAAACTAGGCCTTGTCCAAATTTTACAAAACTGACCAGTGTCAGAAAATGTCATATGTAGGCCTAGCATGAAAAACAATTATCTGAATATGGCAGCGAAATCGGGAAGAGAGTATACACATGGAGGGATCCTCCATGGTGTACATGTAGCAATAGGAGGCCTGCATGATGAGGGGCGGATACATGTACAGTATGGTGGGTTAACATCTTGAGCCTACCTGCTCCTACCAAGTCTCCGGATGTTCAGTGTGTCGACATGCTTGAATGTGGCTTCACTCAGCGCTATACGATCTTTGCTCTCGGCTGTCGATGTCTCGATATCAGCACACATGGGGATCATTGCAACCCTAGTCAGATCAGATCACCTCAGAGACAGGGTACCTGGAGCTAGTTGGGCTGGTGCCTTGCGGGGGGGTGCACACAGTAAATCACATACACCACTCGATTGGACAATTGTTCTGGCCTTACTTCGGAGAAGTTTTTAAAAAATGGAACTGGCTAGCTTTGTTCTCTATAATTCTTTCCAAAGTGTAGTTTTCTCTATTTGGAATGCAACGACATTTCTTGAAACAATAAAAGTGCTGTTGCTAAAAAGACGAATAAGAAACAATCAACGTACAGGTGCCATGGAGGAAAGTGCTTCTGGTTCCTGAACGATTATGGAAAAGTTCACGTCCCTATGAAAAAGATGACGCTCGATTGAATAGGCCTACTTTAATTCCATCAACTCGGCTCTGTTCAATGCTTGAGAGGATGCCTTTTATAAAGACAGATTAGCCAACAACAGAGGGTGCATGACCGTATTCCCAGAAAGGGCGCCCCCCCAAATTAACAAAACAGTTATTTACAGGAATTTAAGGATCTTTAAAACTTGTTAATGGCCCCTTTTTGCGCACGAAGGTTGCACTACACCAAATACGCACCCATCAAAAACAATGCAAAATCTGAACGAGTAGCGACGCCTGTTAACTTTCGTGAAGAGTTTGGCCTCTATTTTTTCACTGGAAATTCAAGATTATGGCCAGAAGACCACTTTATATTCAATTTCATGAGGGATAGCCGAGAAAAATTTTTTTTATTCGCCTTCCAAGGAAGATACCCCCAAAATAGCAGTTAAACTAAGCGCTCATTTCTGAATGTAGCTGCCCGCCCTCAAAATAAGCCTTCAATTTGGGGCTTTTTGTGAAAGAGATACCCCGAACTGGAAATTATCAGTCCCAAATTCGGGATTTATAGAAATATTTCTATGATCCCTCCTGGTTATGGTCTGTCTCGTTGTAAAAATCCTGTAGGATCACAAAATATTAATGAGCTCTCGCCCAGAAATACAACCATTTGGTGGAATGCACCCCGAAGACCCAACATCGTTAATGGCAGGACATTTACGCCATGTTTTGTAACGTCACATTGGAGCGTGTATATGCAACCAAGGAAACGCGCGCGTTCACCTGGAAGCGTTTGTGTTTGGCGTTGTACTAACACAAATCAGACCCCTCACAGGTTTACATGAGAACAGACGCTCTTGAAGCTATTGCAGCTTTCTATCGAGAATTCTGATCAGCTAGTCACTTTTCGCTAGTTTTGCGATTTACTAAAGGACAAAAAACCCAGAAAGTATCATAAGAGATCTCCTTGGAATGAGTCCAGTAAGTTTTTATTCCATATTTCTTTAATCAACCAAGCGACCATATTCTTTAACACTAGAAGGTATTCATTTACAGTCAAATAAATATTTTAAACTTATGGAAATAATATTTTAGGATAGACTGAAATTTTAATCCATAGGTAAGGAAGAAAAAATGTGCGTTTTTCCAACTGCAGTTCTTACAGAATTTTTGTTTTGTGGAATGGAAAATTCCAATTTCATTGATGTAATTATTCGTACGATTAAACGTTTTAATAGCCATTATTTTGCATGTTGCCTGATTTTAAAGTTGTGCCTGTGTTTCCAATAAGTTACATTAATTTTCCAGAGTTGGTCATTGTTGTGAAAAAGACATGCCAGCAGATATGCCCCAAATCTTGGACAGAATATTCTGATCACACAAAATGCCCCGATTTCGGAGTTGTACAGATATTTATCATAAAAGAATGGCACCTCACGTCCTAGGATTGCTAGCTTACAGTATCCCAATGTAGCTTACTTGCTCCCTATTAGGGACATGTCCATCATTTTTGTTGCTTTTCGGCAACCCCTTTACAGGGAGTCATGGATATCAGTTTGATATTACAACACCACGGACCAAAGGAGACGTGTCTGGATTGCGGTTTACCTGTAAGTAGGCTCTCTTCAATATTGTACATCCATTTCAAATTTGCAAGTCTGAAATTACTTCTATTCCTTTACGAAATAACATCATCAAGGTGGGGATTGGTATGACAACTGTCGAGTCAGTAATCATACCAGGAGCAGTTGCCGATGTTTTCAAAATATAACATCTTTTTGCAAAGATGCCATAACTAATACAAAAGTAAATGTCGCTCGAAGTATCACACAAAATACGGTCGTTTATTTACAGCTTAGTTCACGAACTTCAGATTATATTCAAAATAAAAACGCTTTGGTTGTCCTAATTTGTCATAATCCGTTGAAACTGCTTGGATTTTTCTTCAGGCTGGGCTACTGAGTGATCATTACTCACACGGTGAGAGATGTGTGGATTGTGGACTACCCTCAAGGAAGTGTCCAGTAAGTGACTACAGTCAGTTTTGTATGATATCGGTTTACTCAATTTAGCTTTACTGATAGCCACGTCCAATTAGTTATAAAAGTGGTAAATGGTTATATAAAGTAATCATTTCAAAGGGCTTTTAATCTGAACTCTATCTAAAGCGTACAATTGTATGTTCAAACAGAACTTGAAGGTTTTATCTTCAGTTTCATGGTAGCTCTACTTTTCATCTTTTCCAGCACTGGAGGTGCCGAAGGATTCGCCAATTACAAGGAAATGGGTAAGAGAGCATCGAAACATTTATCAGATATATCACCATTAAAATTGAAATAAAAGGAAATAAACGTCAGCACATGATGATTCTTCTACTTTTCAGTGAGAGTTCAGGATATGTTACTTACAATTGATGTCTGCATACTTTCCAATACCGATTTGCAGTCAACGCACAAAAAGTTGGGCTACATACAGTCCTAGATAAATTCTTTGTTTCTTTTATTAGAGTTCTTGGACAACATAAGACAAATGCACCGCTTCCAGCGCCAACCACGAAGTCTCTCCCTCCGTCCTGCCAAGCTGCAGGCCCACGACTGCCGACAGCATCACTGCCCAAGGGATGTGGTTCCCAAGCAAATGGGTATTGTCGAAGATAGCTTTCTAGCAAATGTCCTGCATTATCACTCAGTGATTGTAGTTCGGTAAGTAAAGCAGAGAATACTTTTTGGTTTGTTCCTGCAGGGGGTTGTTGCCAACCTCATTACTTGCCCCCTTACCAAATCACTCCGCTTCGTCGGCACCGGTACTGAGCCGACGAGTTCCGTCATCGATTCCCCACTCTCACACTGGCCAGTAGTCACCTCTCACTACATCGCTGCCTCAGGGGCAATCTCCCACTGGAGGCCGGTATGCTAAAAAACTGTTTCTAGCCATCAACTTCCAATCATCAATACTCAGTAATTATGATTCAAGAATCTAAACAAAGACGACAGATAAACATGTGTTTTTATTCTTTCAGGGGTTTGTTAACAAGATCTTCAACTGCCCCCACATCACCTCGCTCTACCTCATCGGCACCATTACAGGGCTACCAAGCTCACCCACCGATGCCCCACGGTTCCATTAGCCAACAGTCACCTCCCACGTCACCATTGCCCCACGGGCACTCTTCCATGGGAAATGGGTATGTATCAAAACTACTGTCTCTTTACAGTGCTACAGGCCGGCAATCAGCGGTGAGGACATCCCACTTGAATGCGCCATCTTTGTATCCCGCAAAACGTAAAATGTTTATGAAGAACAATCTCTCGGTATACAGTGCTTCGTAATGGTAACTTGCAAAGAAGCCAGTGATGTCAAGGCCTTTTGACAAGCATATTCAGCATATGCATAATGTTGACCTGACAAATCGTAGGTGACCCTGGATGATGATTAAGGAATTGGACGTCCTGCCAATTATCAATTTCAGTAATGGTTATTCGCTAATTCACACGCAGACAGTCACAGAGAGACTTTATTATTTGTTTGATTCCAATGACCCCTATAACAGTGCACTGTTGGCCAACTCTCCCAACACCTCTGCTGCCTTACCGGATGGGTCGGTCACATCGATTGCGCCGGTCTCACCTTGCCAGCAAAGTCCCTTGCCAGCGGTGAGGTCATCCCAGCTGAATGTGCCTTCTTCGCAAACAAATGGGTAAGTTCAAAATCTTTGCCTTAGTCAGTTAATATATTAAAAAAGGAATTTAATAACTTGAAAAATCAATCTGTCGGTACACAATGCTTCGAAATAATCTCTTAAGGAGGCAGTCACGTCTAGGCCTGTTGACCATAGGGATGGTGGACCTAAACAAAAATTTGCTGATCTTGGCCGATGACTAAGGGAATTTGACATTCTAGTTTGCTCTCTTAGTGTGCAACTGCACTCGTCCCGACCAAGTCATCCAACTCCTTCACCTACACATCAGACACCTAGGCCGCCTCAAATACAGTATCCAGCAACGTAATGCTGCCGCCGGCATTTCACCCAGCACTGCCACCTGCCGTACCTCTCCAGCTAAGCTTGCCAACAACAGCTATGGAAATATTCATGCCGCCAATGAACACGGTGGTCCCAAGGATAGAACTGAGGGAGTTGCGGCATCCAACATGTGGCCGGGTCATCTTGGGCAGTGGTGCTTTTGGAACCGTTCATCTAGAAACATTCCATGGAAACAAGGTGGCCGTCAAATACGTTAGGGCAACAACAGATCTAGACCGACTTCCCGTCCTGAGGGAGGCGAGGGCGATGGGCCTTCTTTCAGGGCATCTGTCATTCCCTTTCTTTTTTGGCCAGGCAGTGGCTGGCTAACACCAAGGACTTGTAATGGAGTTCATTGGGAACTCCATTACTGGCCAATCGCTGACCCTGGCGGATGCCCTGGAAGGGCCCAACCGTATACATTTTGCACCGTCTTCCTGGCGCCGCATCATGCTGGATGTGCTGGACAGTCTACGATATATGCACGACAGGGGTCTCCTTCATAACGACCTTAAAACTGGTAACATTATGGTCCGTGATGTTGGGGGCTTGTGGCATGCGTGTATTATTGATGTGGGGTTGTGTACCCTGGCGAGCCATCCTCGGGTACACTACCTCACCTCAGCACAGAAAGCGCGATGGGGGCGCTATTACGAGTACATCGCCCCAGAGCTGGTGGACGATGCAGCACCACAGACCCAGCTGAGTGATGTTTTCCAGATGGGTCTGGTGCTGTATTTCATCGGTCTCTGGGGCGGTGTGCCAAGCCTGATACAGCTCGCCTACTGGTGTCTGAGGCGGAACCCCCGGATGCGGCCATCAACGGCCGTACTCCGGCTTATGGTGGCTGGGGTTGCATAGGTCAATTAACTTGCCATTCCAGTCGAACTTTTTCCGGTATGCAGTACTCTTTGAGGATTTGGAGGGATGGGGTTCGGAGATGAGGCTACGTTGGTTGGGAAGGAAAACAAAGAATTGAAAATGCCTGGGGGCGGTTTGCCCTTGCCTCGCCCCAAATACTCCATGAATAGCGCATTGAGTTTCAAAGTAGAAATATTTTGGTGAACAGATGATCGCCAAGACTGAGATTGGCAGTTCTTACTGTTGGTGCTAGGTGTTTTAAAAGAACAAAAAATGACATTTTGATAAACAAACAAATGACTTCAAGATGTTGCAACAAAAAGTTTTAAACTAATGATTGAATTTTGGTTAACTTTTGTTAAGAGAAAATAAAAGTTAATTTTAGTCTTCTTTGGACAATACTGTATCATTTCTGGTTTTGATATACAGAAAGGGAAATATTTTGCTTCATCATCTTACATTTACTGTTTACAAAAATTGTGAATGTTTAAAAACACAAGAGTGACAATCTAATTACATTTCGAATGTGAGGTGAAACTTTCTATAAGTACACTTTCTCAACATGTAAGCAATGCCTAGGCAAAACCTTAGTTTCTCTTAACATAAAGTTATAAAAACATTTTGCCAAATGAAAAAGTGACAAATTAAAAGTTATTTGAAGTCAGTATCGTCACTTCATTGAATTGCAGATTTTATGGGGAAAATTGTCATGAAAACTTAAAAAGTACCCAGTATTTTTATATTCTTCGTTTTGAAGTAATTAAAAAACGTTTATTGCATGTCAGGTAAAATATACCTGTATGCTTTTATTTTAACATGTATGTCAATGGGTGTATCGTGCATTCATAGTTTATTCAGTAGTGCAGGTTTTGTGATCATCATTTAAAAAATGCTTTGAAAAAGTTGAGAAAAAAAAACAAAACCCAAACCAGAAACGTCTTCCATTTGTCGTTGTACTCTTCAGTTCCGTGTCTTGAATTTTTGTGTTTGGTTGACAATAGTTATTCTGATCAATATCGAAAATAAGTATTTTGAACAAAAACCCAAATACTTAAACTTTCAAAGAAATCGGTTAGATATAGTTGGATATAGTGCAATGGACATTTGAAGCATTTCCAATTGCATTTTGACAGAAAATATAGCTCCAGGATATCCATTAATGGCTTACATGACCTTGTGGGACAAACAGATGAATTTTTAAGGCCTGCATAGCCTGGGCAGGCGTGGAGTAGTACAGTGCATCTAATTTGAGTCTGAAACACGGCAAGGGCCGTTATGTGCCTGACATCATTCAAGTTTTAACTGCTCATATCCCACCATCCGCTAACAGCCTCACCATCAGCACCACGGGGGTGGGTCGATGTACATAAAGAATAAACAAGAATAATCATAAAAGACAATTAGATGTATAAACAGGAACAGGAAAAATCAGAAGCATAATTAGATCTTAAATCAGAGGGACACACGTGCATGCAGACGGATACGACCTGCATAGGGTGCCTGGTGTCATCCTGGCCAATTGTTGTCAGAGGGGACAATTTACGGTCCTCTTTCGGAAACAAACGCCGCTATGCAGTCCAGTGCAACGCTGACATGACAAAAACCGCTTCATCGAACATGTACCGAACAATCCACTGGACTGCCAAGTATAATTTGCATTTAACTGGCGAAGGCACATTATCGTTGGCACATTGTTCTTGTGCAAGAGCCACGATATAGACTGGTCGCCCTTACCCCGGGAAAATCTTTCTTTACTGAATTTCTCCAAAGTCAAGTTTTGACCTTGAAATAAATTCATGAAAACAACTTTTTTTCACATGGACTGATCGGCTGATGTAAGTCCCTAAGTTCTCGTTAAATATACGTGACAGTTACACTGTTATTGTCATGTCTGGACTAGTACCACTGCAATGGAATGGCTCTATAGTGTAGTAATCTAGCATCAAGAAATCTGTGTCATGACTCAATGGAAAGCTGAATTTGCTTTTCCCCTCGTTATTGTTCTTATTCGTCAGGTGATGGAATTATTGTTGGCTATTACAAACTCTCCATGCAGACTTCTGTGAGACAGGCTGCCACACATCTGAATTAGCAAGGGGCCGTGTCCACTGGCGACCCAAAATACTGGCTATTTTCGTGGACCCCATCATGTTCCTTATAGGGCATTGAACTGTCCTGTACTGAAACTCTCACTAGTGCCCCACACAATTGACTTATCGCTGTTTGCTAGTTAGCCGCGCCTCTACATGGAACTTTGTGTTGAGTTTTGTTAATCTTAATAGATTTTGAGCTTCCCTAGTCTGGCTCCCTGAGGACTGAAGACCCCCAACGACTCTTGATAAAATCTGTTAGGTCACCCATCATCCACAGCTGAATGATTAATTCATGACGCAACATGTCATCATGGTAACTGGAAGCCTAATTTGGGTCACGGTCGTTTATGTACTAAGAGACGTCTGTGGTCATGGCTGGATTCCTTTTCGTTCATTAATTTTACCGGCCCCTTCAATCGAACAAGAACAGTCAGATTCATCTGGCCTGCGAACCAGTCTAGCGCATTTCGAGTCTATTTTGTATATTTTAGAAGTCAATATTTTCTACCTTGATATTTGCAATAGACGACACGTCTATTTTGGGAAATCCAATCTATAGTTGTGAAATTATAGAACTACTACAATGAGCATAAGAACTCATCTTCTGTACATTAATTCCCTGTACAGTATTTGCGCACCACAATAAATTGGGTTTAGTACCTCACAAATAATTTTTATCAAAACATTACTTGTATTGTGCAAATAAAGTACCTGGCTGGTGGGTGGGCTGAATTGGTTCTCAAGATGACTGACTGGTTGGTAGGCTGATTAGTTTACAAGATGACTGGCTGGTTGGTAGGCTGATTGCTTCACAGGATGACTGGCTGGTGGGTGGGCTGAATTGGTTCTCAAGATGACTGACTGGTGGGCAGGCTGATTGGTTCACAAGATGACTGGCTGGTGGGTGGGCTGATTGGTTCACAAGATGAGTGGCTGGTGGGTAGGCTGATTGGTTCACAAGATGAGTGGCTGGTGGGTGGGCTGATTGGTTGAGACAGGATAAAGGATGAAGCTACTCACACCAGCCGACCAATGACAATAAACAGAATGTAGTATCTGTCGGTGTGCTCATCGTTGATCACAAAAACCTTCCACAAATAGAACGCCTGAAGACAACAAAACATGAAGAAAGTTAACTTAACAGACAGCACAGCAAAATAACAATATTGGGGGCAACGCATGCTTTGCTTTACTAGGCAATGATGACAGTCCAGTAATTTGCCACTGTTAGCTTTAGGATCAACTCCACATAAAAATTTGTAAATAGCCAGACACAATCATCAGACCGAACCCGCCAGCTGACGGACAAAAATCCAGAAGCTGTCCATGCTATGTGGGCAATTAAGTGCTGACGTGTTTCTAACTTGTCCTGTTGTGATCAATGTTCAACTACTGGGCCACGTACCTAACTTGTCTGGCAACTTTGGCAGGTAAGTGAGCGGACCATCAAAGACAAAGCCAGGAATTGAAAATGGTGTGGCTCTGACCAAATGACTTCAAGAGTGTTATTCAAATTTGATATGTTATCTGGACTTCATGTCAGGGCAGACATGTTTGGGGAAATAAGCAATATGTAAATCACTGGTCACGCAAGAAGGAAAGGGGGTGTGGCGTTCTCGGACACCACTCCTCCAATTAACAGATCCAACCTTCTATGGAATGGAGTTTTGGGTAGTACTGTGTGACAGTAGGGTTAAAATCAACAGGGCCATATCTACCACTTCTTTTGCACCTGTAGCGCTGTCTGTTAAAAGGTGTTCTGGGTATAAAGCCATTTGAAAGTGCCCGCTGGACGTGAACACTGAGAATGGAGTCATCAGGGGGTCCGTCCTTACCTGTAAGACCATCCAAGTGAACTGTGCCAGGAAGAAAAAGTGGATCAGCACCCTTAGGGCAACACAGGAGGGTGCAGAGACAGAGCTACTCACATACGCTGAGATGCCAAAGATGATCTGAGGAGAGAACAGGTGGACAGGTTATTTTCCAATTAATATCAATCCTAGCTCCCTCAGAACTCTTGCTAGGAATCTTACTTAATCTGAGGAGAGAACAGTTGGAAAGATCAATATGCCAATAAATATCTTAGCTCTCTCTGAATTCTTTCAATTCTTCAAAATCCTCCACTTTGCAAAGAATCCTCCATGGTGCAGGGAGTCCTCCACTGTGCAGGGAATCCTCCACTGTGCAGGGAATCCTCCACTGTGCAGGGAATCCTCCACTGTGCAGGGAATCCTCCACTGTGCAGGGAAACCTCCACGGTGCA